TGTTTTTGAGACTCAATTAATTTTTGTTCAAGTTCTTTCCTATATTTTTATAACATAATTTATATTTTTGTTTTTGGAAAAAACTTACTTTTGTTTATAAAGTTCATCTTGTCCTTCAATTTGAGATGCAAGATTTAAATATTTCTCACTAAGATCTTTAATTTCATTTGTTTGTTGTTGTATTACATCTTGTAATGATTGAACACTAAAATTAATATTGAAAAATATACAAATTATCAAGACGAATTATTTTCTAACTTACTCTTCATACGAAGGTCTATCAACATTGACATCATTTATAGTTTGTTTTAATTGATTTAATTCTTCTTGTAAATGTTCTATTTCATTTCGACTAAATAAAAATTATTTAATTTTTTTTTTGAAACAAAAATTATTTTTACTCGTCTGTTAATCGAATTGTATGCTGTTCAACAAGTGCATTTCTTTCTTGAACAAGTGATTCAATTTGTTCTTCATACATTGTATTAGCTGATATATGATCATCAAGTTTTTTCTTAAAATCATTTTCAACTTCATTAACACGTTCACGAAGTAAAGTTCGTTCATCTTCATTTGCAGCAAGTTTTTCTTGAAGTTGATTTATTTGTTTTTGACAATCATCAATCAATAATAAACTATAATTAAATCGATATGTAAAAAACAATAAATAAATAAAAATTTCATTTCTATTAACCTTGTATCATCAGATTTTAAATCTCGTTGTTCTGTGTCTATTGCACGTTCATCATTTAGTTGTTGTTGACTTTCTTCCAAGGATCTATAATTAATTAAATATAATTATATTTTCAATAGCAAATTTTGTTTTTTTTAAATTACTTTCGAAGGATATTTATATCTCGTTGTGCATCATCACGCTCGCATTGTAAATTATCGATTTGTACTGCTTGATTTCCAATTATAACAATTAAATGATCAAGACGTTCGATAGTATCATCATTTGTATCAATAAATAATTCAGGTCGTTCAATAACTGTTTGAGAGATTTTATCTTTAATTGTTTGAAGTGCACGTTTTAATTTATTATTAACATGTAAAAGTTTATCTTGTGGTTGTTCCTCGGTTTGTGTTTCATTTGTTCGTGAATTTATTATTAATTCTTCTGAATCTTTAACTGTTTGATTATCCATATATTGTGGAACTAAAACTGTTTGTGATGAATTATCAGCTAAAATTCGTTTCTCAGATGGTGTTCTAAAATAATAAGAAAAAATTTTATTTTTTAAAGAAAGATAATTTATATATACATACGTATCAATATTTGTATGTAGTTCTTGAATATCTTTTTCTAATCGTTTATTTTGTTCAAGAAGATTATTACGTTCAGATGTAAGTGATTTAATTTGATTTTCATAATCATGAATAGAAGATTCAGTTTCTGATTGTTGAAATTTATTTAACATATGTTCACATTCATTTTGTAAATAACCAATTTGAGTTGCTTGATTTCCCATAGCTGCAATTAAATGATCAAGACGTTCAATAGTATCATCAGTTATATTAACAAATAATTCAGGTTGATCAAGAACTGCTTGATGAATTTTATCTTTAATTGTTTGAAGTGCACGTTTTAATTTATGATTAATTTGTGTCAGTCTATCTTGTAATTGTTCATCAGTTTGTGTTTCACTATCTGTTATTTGTTTAGGAACAGGACCAGCAGTGACAGATGTAAAGTTATATTCATCTGATGGAATTTCAAAAGATGACATTTGACTATTCCAATCATTTTCATCTGAATTAGTTAGATTAGTATGATTTGCTACTGTTAGAACTGTTGTATCTTCATCATGATCAAGATCAGTTAATGCTGAACTATAAACAGTCGTTGTTTGAGGTAAAGAATGAATACCAACATCTTGAATTACGGAATCTAAAAGCAAAAAAAAAAATATTTTTATTTTTTTCTTTTCTAAAAAAGAAAATATGAAATATACCAGATTTTGTATTGTGTAAACTTATTCGTTGATGATCTGTAGTAGTATTTTTCAATCGATTCCTATCTTCATTATTTGATAATTGTTCAAATCGTGCATTTTCAATAGGTGAATGTCGAACTGTTGCTTCTTCATCCCAATCATTGTTCCATGATGTTCCTTCGATATTTGGTGGTCGATGGGATTCTTCAGATAAAGTACATTGTATTTCAACACTATGCATTCTTTTGATTGTATCATCACCTAAATAAAACTCTTATGAGAATCAAACATATATTCAGATAGGCATCTACTTACCATTATCATCTGTTTGTAATTTTCGTTGATACATTTGTGAATTATAATCTTTTAATAATTCATTTTCATTAATAAGATTATTAAAATCTTTTCTTAATTGTTCATAATCATTATTTTGACTATCTTCATGTAAATTTAATTGTAATTGTTTTATACCTAAATCATATTTTTCTGTTAAATCATTAAAAGATTTCTTTGAATGTAAACGTTCAAGTTCATTTTGTTCAAGTAATTCATCATATTTATTTTGTAATTTTTCAAATTTCTTTTCAATATT